TAGCGAAAGGTCGCAATAATGACGATAATAGTTACTCGTATTATAGTACTACTGGGTCACTGAATGCTTTTCGGCTTTGGTCTGCTTGTTAAGTGTTATTTTCTACATTTCCTCCTGAATAAAAGTCCATTTTAATGTGACTCGAAAATACATTCTCAGTACAGGAAAAAACCCCATAGAGGAACAAAACGATACAAAAACATGTTCTAGGCCTGATGCCAGACCTTTAAACACAGTTTTTTTTAAAGGATTATGTAAATGAAGGTCTTGCAGCAAAGACTGTCACCTGGACACTGCTGTGATGGCTCCCGAGGCTCCTTTCTTTAAAGGACATTGGTCACGACAGTCGAGCTGCTCGAGTGCAGCTGCGTAGCTTGGCTGCAAAGATCATCTGTGCGCGTACGCGAACCTTCACGCAAGGTGGCACTCCCACAAAACCAAAGAGTCAGCGGCTCTCTAAGCGAGGCGGTTACTTAGAAAACCAGTCTCACCGCGCATCTCTGAAAGAAATTATTCATGTTGTTGTTAAATCCCAGCAAAGTTCCCCCCTCTTTCTGCCCTTACAAAGCAGCCTCGTTTTTATTCTGCATTTATAATGCAAATGTACCCAAGAAATGCATTAAGATGAGTGATTTCGGCTATTCTTCTCTTTCCATTACCTTATAATGCGGCTGTTTTTAACATGTCAGAATTAAGGGGTGCGATCATCAGGATGTGTCCTCGTTTCTCCGTCCATTATCTGGCGCAGCTACAGAGCCAAAAGCCACAGGTGCTAATGGCTATCTCTTTCACATGCTTCCCATGCCAACTTCTAACACGCTGCACTGACAGTTTGGGTCCAACTGTTCATGCACATGCACAGTCCATTTGTCTCTGCCTCTTCGGGTGTTTTTCAAAAGCTCTTGTGAAGCCTGATGTGCCCATAAAACCCTTTTTTTTTTGCCACAGTGAGTGACGGAGAGATGGGGATATATTATATTATATTAATGAAACAATGACAAAAAGGTGGGTGTGATATGAATGGCAGAATAATAGGGTGAAAGGAATGAGTAAGCACAGCAGGGCTAAATCCATGCATTAATTAACACAAATGAGTGTCATGCAACTGTCAATGACGGGCTTTAATCCCGGCTCCACGAAGGAAGTGCTTTTGATTAATGCTGCGAAGTGGGAGATTATTTTTCACATTTTTCCCCCTCTCTCCTAGCACACCCTTGACATATGCATCCCCTTACTGGAGACTCGGTGCTTTAAATGCTACTAATGATGATGAATCAGTAGCGACAGCAGCCCAGGCCACAGGATGAGTTGTTATTCAGATAGCGTGCGCGCGCGCGCGTTCATTTACAGACTTATAAACGTGTTGGGGTTGACATTTTGACAGGCCTCGGCAAACTGTTCACATTGATTGATGCACAGGCTCGCTCCTTCTGGGCGCTGTGTCCAATCAAACGCGGTGGCTGAAGCTGAAAGACTCCCCATTTATCAGCATCTTAATTATACAACAGAGTGGCTCAAGACCTTGTTAGTGTAAGGGAAATAGCCATTGTTATGCTACACCTGTTGTTGTGGAAGCAATTCCCGCAGTGTTTATATTTTGCCGTGCGGCTGGAGAGATAATGGATGATTTATGAGCACTTTTTCTGCAGCCACTAGTCGAGGACGCGGGCACATTCACTAGACAAAAACATTCCCATTACACTTTAGGACCAAAAGAAGGTAATTCTGTCCGATAGGAGGAGGACACTTGTGTTTTTGTATTGTAAGCATGGCAAGTAGATTTCTTTGTACACTCCAGTGTTGCCAGATTGGAAGAAGCACCAAAATGAGTTGGACTACAGCTTTTATTTTCTCTGTCGACTCTCTCGGCTAGTTGTTCAGGTCTTAACAACCACTACCTAACATCAAAATTTCCATTAGCGAGAGCCAATTTCCTGCAAAATAGTTAAAAAAAGAAGAAGAAAAAGATGCAGTCCCTTGGGGTGCACTTCAAAAACCATATTAAACCACTGTGTAACAGTGCTTAATTTGTTTTTATGCACAATTCACAGTCCAGCCTTGAAGTTGCAGAGGAGAGCAGCTGCCTTCAGCCAGACATATGCTTTACAGTGCTTGTGGTTTAGCCAATCTAAGGAGCGTGGAAAGAAATGTAATTGAATACCTCTCATGTGCAAACCATACAAAAAAAAAAAGAAGACAGGATTCAGTTGAATGCCTTAATTTCAGAATATGACAGTGGATGAGATAATCGTTTGATTCAGGTTATTGAGAATTCAGTGTAATCTTTATCCTGATGGGATCTGGGACTGAATCAAAGGGCTGTTCTGCTTAAACCATAAGTGGTCAATCAGTAGTCTGCAGAACATTGTAATGATTTCCCTGGAATGTGTATTTTAAGTGGATTCAAAGCCGGTTGATGAAAGATGGCAGAGTGGAAGCTGCATAAATTCCACCTTTAAGAGAAGCGCAAGCCTGAGATCATAAAGGTAAATGTGAAAAGCCTTTCATTTCCTTGCCATCAGAAACGACTCTAGAAAGGGTGTTAGCAAATTCTTGATGCTTGTATAGCCATTATTTTTTTCCGGGCCTCTTATATTCCCATAACAGAACACTATTTTGGGAAACAGTCAATGAAAAGCCCAGACGAGAGAGCCCGTTTTCCACTGAGAGAAATGAACTGACGAGCAGCAAATTCATCCTTTTCTTTGACTGACTGCATTCAGCTTCTCCTGGATGTCACGAAACTGTCTTAAAGCAAAAATAAAAAACAAAAAACAACCCAAAAAAACCAAAAGACAACCAACTGCACTGAACTCCATTTGGTCAATGCAACAGATATAACATCTAAAATTAGCAGTTTAACAATAACTGAAGTCCTGCCCCACTTTCAAACTGGCATGTGTCCCACTGGCCTTCATTGCACAATGTACTTTTGCACAGAAGGTTTTCTGTCACCAGCCTTTGTGAAAAGCTGAAATATATGGCCAAGCCATTCTGCCAGTCCTCCTTTATGACTAATTTATATTTATTCCCATCCAAATAATTATTTGTACATGATACTGAAACTTTGCCCCTCCATAATAGCAACCTACTTCAGCTTGAATTGCACACCGCATTAGAAACATTAGAAAACAATTACAAAATATGAATGTTAAATATATAAAATGCATTCAGATTGCATCAGCAAGAGTGACAGTATATCTGATGTATTGTAGAATAGCACCAGCTAAGGAAACCACAGTGGAAATAGAGCTGCTGCTCTGTCCGGAGTGGAACTCTGTGTTCTGTGTACTGGAAATAGCCGGGGTTAAATCAGTGCAATTGTTAAGCATGCACATTTGGCAGAGTCAGAATGCAGAGAACAAACTCCGGTGCTGTTAGTGGTTGATGCAGTCAGTGTATGGGATAATTGGTTGGTTGTAGCTGACTAGCTAACTGATGCATAGGTCTGAACTGCATCAGAGCACTGACTGTCTGGCATTAGGCTGTGTCCTCTCTAATCTTTAGCCATTAACATTATGTTTTCATAACCTCCCTTACCAAAAACACTCAATGCTGGCATTAGCAAAAATATACTCTAAAATATACTCTCCTTTCAGTTCTTCAATGCAAATAATTAATCCGCCAATGAACAACTCAATGCATTAAGGCATATAGACATGGTCAAGACATCCAGTTGAGTGGCAAAGTCATGGTTGTTGGTGCCAGGTGGCCTGATGTAAGTATTTCACAAAGTGCTGATCTGCTGGGATTTTCCCATCTCAGCCATCTCTATGGTTTTCAGAGAATGCCCCGAGAAGTGACAATACACAGCGAGCTGCAGTTCTCTGGTTGAAATCGACTTTTTGGTGCTAGAGGAGAATGGTCAGATGCTTCGAGCTGATAGGAAGACAAGTGAGTCAAATAACCGCTTGTTACAACCGTAGTATGCAGAAGAACATCTCTGAACAGACAGCACATCAAAGTTTGTGGCTGATGGGCTACAGCAGCAAAGGTCCAGCCTGGTGGTGATGGCGGTGGTAATGGTGTCAGGGATATTTTCTTGACTCACTTTGAGCATCGTTTTAAGACATCGTCCTTCCTGAGTATTGTTGCTGACCCTATCCATCTCTTTACTGCACCACTGTCCATCTTCTGATATCTCCTTCTGGCAGGACAAAGCTCAAATAATCTCAAACTGGTTTGTTTAACATCACAAATGAGTTCACTGTACTCAAATGGCCTCCACGGGCAGAGCCCCTTGGGGATGTGGTAGAAAACGAGGTTCAGATTATGGATCTACAGCAACCGTGTGATGCTGTCATGTCAGCACTGACCAAAATATCGGGGAAATTTTTGAATGTAGGGTTTTACATAAAGTAAATGTTCCCAGACGTGAGTGAAAACAATCAAAGTATCTTCATGTTGATGTTTAATGTCACTCACCAGATTCATGAATTGAAATGAACTGGAGGTCAAGCACCAGTTTACCATCCTATTTCATATATCATCTATGCCACGGCTGACACAGGTGTCTGCGAATTTGAAGAATTTATAACTGATTGAGATCCACTGAGAAGCACAAAAGAACATGACTTTCAGTCGTTTTCAGTCTTTGAATTGCGTTTTCCCCTCACACCGAGCAGAGCCCTTGGCCGCTCAAAAGGCAAAAAAGAACCGACAAGTGCAACCTTAAAATGACTTCTGCACGTACATGAAGGGAATTTTCAGAATTTTAACAATAAATCAATCCCCTTGACTATCATCAAGTTTGTGTTCGTTTAATCTGACCACAGCACAGGTCCCACAGCATTGCAAATCAAAGGAACAAAGCAAATCACGCTCTCAGTGTGAGTCTGACCTCGATAATGTGACACTGTGCCAACAACACAAAAAGAAACATATTAAAAATGGATGAGCTAAATTTGAAATTCCACTGTGAAAGATTTGAAAAAGCCCTGCTGTTTGTCGTGCCCTGTTTTCCTCTTTATTTATTTCTTTTATGTCTGTACCACCTACAGGGCCAAACTGCTACGCGGACACGGCGGTGATACCGGCTGGCCGAGAGGTGAAGATCGATGAGTGCACAATCTGCTACTGCACATACGAGGAAGGCACGTGGCAGATTGAGCGTCAAGCCACCTGCAGTAAGAACGAGTGCCAGCGGAGCTAGAGACTGGCACGGCGACGAGAGAGGGACATTGGCACGCAACACCAGTGCCGAGCCTCATGCACACTCTCAGCCTTTCACCCAGTCTACCGGGCATCAGGGTCGGACAGCACCCCTCAAGCATTTCAGCATTAATACTGTAGTCACTCCTGTATTACTGAAACGATGCTTTTATGAAAGTTTATAATCCACACACAGAATATCTATTTATCTATGTATTAAATTATTTATGAATATATATATGAAATATAGGAGTCATTAATGCTGAAACAGTGGAAGACTATTTTTTATAGTATCTGTATTTTATTAAGCAATGTATTGGACCAGAGGTCAATAAAACAACAGAATGTATAGAACACACACAGCTGTCTTTGGAGGTGCAAGCCTCAACGTCTCTTAACCCGCGGTGTCATCCGACAAATCTCGACACCCGTCCCTCTACCACCAAAGTGCAGACCAGACTGTGCGCGATTCATTTTGCAGTGCTAGGGTGCAGACTTGCTGTGTAGGACAGCGCAGTGCAGAGTTACAGGCGAACAACAACGAAGAAAGACGAATAAATTCACGAGGACTCGACTGTTTCCTGATTTCTTTTATCCTTTTTCTCTGGATGTTCAAATGTGCTTTGATTTGAAAGTGCTTTTTTTGTATTTCTCTCGGTACAGTGTGTTCATGTTTCAAATAAATGCCATTCTGTGCTCTGTAAATGCTCCGACGGTACCTGTTTTTTTTTATAGCTGTGAGTTTTTATGTTGATGGTGATTTGCATTTACAGACTTGCTACCTGGAAAAAACAAAAAGCTCGCAGTTTCACTTGAATCAACAAATGATTGTCGATGGTTTGTTGTTTGGAATAAATGATCAGAGTACCAGAGGAGCCTTTGAAAGTGACAAATCTTCCCTTTTTAGATGGGAACGTTTTTCGGTTTTGAAGTTCCTGGATGATATCTGTGTGAAAGCTACAGGTAAATATTTAATAAGTTGTCAAAGAGGATATTAAGTTCCTCGGTAATGCAGGGCTTTCATTTCCGGTAGTTATAAGCATCCCAATATAAACATGAGCCCTTGGAAGTGCAGATGCTCCGGAGTTGCCCCTGGATTTCCAACTCCATTAATAAAGCCCAGACTGGACAATTCGATCTCATTGATTCCAATTTGCTTCCAAAATTTGGAAACCGAAAGGTCATCCGACTTGCTGCATATATGCTTTTTTTTTTGCCTTTGTTATTTTAGTTTGAAGATTAATCAAACGAATGCAGAGCCGTAAGGGCCAATCGAGCAGCAGATCAAAATGAAGATGAATAATTTAGGTCCAGGTTATGAACACTGAAAGGCAGGCTGGCATAAACGCGTGCATATGTTGTGTTCACGCTTTCGCCTGTCATCTTTTGCATTAGCAGCAAAGCTGTGTCACCCTCTGTGCAGCGTGCTGGCCCCGCTGCAAAACTTTGATCAAGAGGTTGCCAGACAACGATGTTGCATCTCCAGCGGTGAGACGTGCCTGTCAGACAGCCGAAGGGATCGAGGTAAATAAGCCTAAATGCATGTACATGCTACGTGACAGGCTTCTCTCGGAGCAGCGGGGGAGCAGTGGCACAGATCTATTAAGGTTTTCTGGCTGTCCTTAACTCCGCTATTCCTATGACTGTAAGTGTCCTCTCAAATCAGGCTCATTCATTCAAGGAAAGCTGGACTTGCTCTTGTGCATACAAGTGGTAAATGATTGTGGGATTTTTCTTTCCTATACACAAATCCCCCCCACAACACACACACACACACACTCCCTTTTCTTCCATTTAGAGGGATTGCTGCCATTTTTATCTGTATAGTCTTTCATTTTACAAGATGATACTCCCTTATGTGTAATTTCCCAAGCAGCTTACCTGCTGTGACTCAGCCTGTAAAGTAATGGCTCCATCACAGGGCCTCTATCAGTTCCCTTGAGCGTCTCTGTCCAGGTCATTAACATTCAAGATTCTCTTTAAATCACTTCATATTTCAGCAGTTACTTAAGATCAGATCTGTGTATTGGACAAAAGAATTAGGACTGGGCATAAAGTGTGCTCATCAGAAACGAGGCTGGGTGTTTTACTTTGAAATAAAATTCCCAGAGAAGTAGCCATCTACATTTCTTCAAAGACAGGCCATTAATTGGATACATCTGTTAGAGAAACCCATAAGAGATTAAGCCCGGTTTCCCCAATGCTGTAGCTATGTAATTAGGCTTCTCCCCTGTTCTGGACAATGCATGCTGCTGCGCTGAGATGAAATGTGTTCATATTACAGTAGGTGATGAAATTCATTATTTATTTATAGCAATCGGCCGGCTCTGTCATTTGAAATGAAAGCATCGCGTATTTTGAGAAACCAACCAAAACTCTCGGTCAGCGAAAGAAAGTTGAAATCTTCATCGGCGTGAAGACGTGACTTCGAGCACAGCAATGTGGCATAAAATCAAATGTCTTCCGCAGTTATTGGCTCTTCAGAAGAGATTATGAAATATGTTGTAAACTTAATGGCAAATGACACAATCGCTGAGCTGCAGTGTCGGCTAATGAGTAAAATCCTGCAGCATAACACACACCTCTAATTCCTTTAGTCTATTTTATCAGTTAAGCCATCTCTGTTCATTTTTTTCCATGTTAGCTGTCTGTCCTGGTGGCCAGGAGGAATGCCCTCACTGAAATATGTCCCATTGGTGACTAGTGCTACCAGCGGGTCAAATTTTTCACTTATATTATTTTATTATTTATCTGATAGACTTTTGCCCATTTGTTTTTCCAAATCTCATCAGCCTCTGTTGTGCAGTTTTAGCACACCTGATATGCTAATACGTTAAAGACTACAACTGGTAAACGTCAGCATGCTAGTACTATGGTTGGTGAGCATCAGCAGTTAGCCTCCCAGAGCTCTACCATGGCCATACAATAACACACTTTAATGCTTTGAAGATGGCAGATCTGCAGTAAACACACACTCTAGATCAAACCAAAGCCAGGGCTGGTCCTACTTGCACAGTACCTTACATCAGTGGCTCAGTCGCACTAGATTAAAAATAGCACTGCTTGCTGTTGATCATTGCCAGGTGACTGCATTGATTTTTTTTGATTTTTTTTTTGCTGAGAGACCAACTCCAAGTAATTGCAGTGACCAACTGATTGCCCAGAGGTTGAATGTGCAAAACACTTTATATCTGGGCCACCATGTTTGGTTGCAAGGTGATTGCACAGGTGGGAGGCAACCTGTCTCCAAACAATCTGGTCTGATTGAGACTGACTGCAGTCACACTCTCAGACAAACTGCCATCTAATTTATAAATGCAGACAGAGCGCAATCAGGTTGGCTGGATGGGTAAAATGGTAAATGGACTGGTTCTTATGTAGCGCTTTTCTACTCAACCTGAGTACTCAAAGCGCTTTATACAACTCGCCTCATTCATCACACATTCACACATATTCACACAAGTACTTTTTTCTGTGCCTAAGTGCTTTCTGTGCATTGGAGAACGACTGGCGGTTCAGCATCTTGCCTAAGGACTCTTTGACATGCAGACTGAAGCAGCCAGGGATTCAACCTTTCGATTAGTAGATGACCTGCTCTATATGCTAAACTACAGCCAGTGGTCAAGCAGTTGTGTTTTAGTTATATTCCTATGTAAAAGGAAAACTGCGGAGCATCTAAGCAATTTTGACTTAAATTACTTTCCCACAGCAACTGTGTTGCTATTTGTGGACGAATTTCTGAAATTCAAACCTGTTTTTTGGCTGGACTCTGAATCTAAGCACTCAACGTGAATTTCTGTGCATGCACTTAGCAACAGATTTGCAACAAACAGCAACAGATTTGCAATTTTTTGCCAGTTTGTCACAGTTAATCACCATATCATCACAAACAGATTGCATGTAATTACCGATTTGACCCCATTCCATTGCATACTGAAAGACTTACTCTGTCTTATTGCCATTTTATCGCTGTCTTAGCACGACAAAGTCACTTTGAAGATGGCAACTGACTGTGACTGATCCCAGACGCAGTAGAAAACACATATTCTACTTCCTGTGATGCAAAAAAAAAAAAAACCCAACCCTTTAAATCTTTAAGAGAGCTTTAAAAAACCAAAAACCAAAAAAAACCCCCTAAAATATCATCATGGATGAGAAACAAAAAACAGGAGGAGCTGCAAGTCCTCCCAGTATAGGGTTATCATCACTGTAATTATTACAGTGTTTAAAAATGATCAGCATATATATTCAAATGGGATCCAATCCATTCATTAGTAAGTATGGGGTATTAGTCTTGTTTAACTTGTCTCTGCTGTCAAACTGTCTTATGTATTTTTCTGCCTCAGAATCATTTTAAAAGATTTATTTTGCATATAGAGAGTCAGTGTAGTCCTAACATTAACCTTATGGTTCAGAATAGGGGCAGGCTGATTAATATGAGGTGATACGTTGATATTCACAAGTTACTAACACTCAAGAAGATTATATAGATTTTAAAAAAGGTGTAATAAGATATGTGACATGTGTATGGCTGCATCACATCAAACTTGCAGAAGGACATTAAAAGACTATTTTTAGACCTGAGTCCAGTGTAACAGTGCACTCAACTTCAAAGAACTTTAGAAGACACATAAGGTGCCTGCCTGGGCTCAGAGAAAGCAAAAATGAAAAAGGATGTTGCTACTCTCTGAAAAAAATATTTCATTGTATTTATTAAAGAGTCCTTTAGGACAACATTTTTATTTTATTGTACTGGTTTTTTTTAACATTTGCAAGGACTGATTATGAGTGTGTAATTTGTCTTTAAATGTCATCATATTATTATTTATTTATCTTATACAAAATCAATCCCTGGTACATAAGAGGCAAAGCACTAAAACGTGGCCATTAAGTGGCATTGGATTGTTTATTGTTTATTATGCTATGTTTTTAAAGGTTCATGAGCAAATAATGTTATTAATTTCAGCTTTTGAAGTAGATCTACATTCGTCAAACACTTGTGCAATTTAAGGGTTTATGACACTCGCTATACAGCAGGGGTCTCAAACTCCAGTCATCGAGGGCCGGTGTCCTGCAACTTTTCCATGTTACAACACACCTGAATAAAAATTAGTGGGTCATTAGCAAGAGTATAGAACTTGACTGCATGCTGAAGTGGCGACTCCTAACCCCACTCAAGTAAATTTAAGTAAAGGTAAGTGTTTGGAAAATGATCTACTAAAAGTACAATTTTTGCACCATGTTCATTCACTCATGAGCTGCTGTAACAGGAATCAAATGGCTGAACTGCCACCTCAGCATGCAGTCAAGGTCTATAGAGTCTTGCTAATTACCTACTAATTGTATTCAGGTGTGTTGCAGAAGGGACACATGGAGAAGTTACAGGACACTGGCCCTCAAGGACTGGAGTTTGAGACCCCTGCTATACAATATGTTGAGCCATTAAATAAAAAAGGGGCAACACATGTTACCAAACATCAGTATACCAAACATATGAAGTGTAAACATGGCAAAACGGCCAATTTACATTTACATCGCCAAGGTGGGTTATGTAAAACTTATATAGAAATAAAAACATATTAGACA